AACTTTTGCAAGCATCGCCAATATACGATCCATTGATTTATTGCACCTTTGTTATTCGGGCGAAAATTATTATGCAAGAAATCTGGTGTTCCGGTTTCTGACTGGGATGAGGTCTTCTGCAGAGATTAAGGACAAATTCAACATTTGGCGGGAGGAACTTAATGATTTAACTGAAATATCGATACAGCGAAATTTCTTTGATAATGATCCATGAATATAAGCCTTCACCTATTTTCGGACGCTAGTCCTAAAGCATATGGGGCCATCTCATTTTCAGATATTGTACGAGTGATTCTAAATTAAAACTTCCTTTATCATGTCGAAAAGAGTTGCAAATCAATCACGCTTCCTTTAGCGTAGGTCGAAAAGTGTAAGTTACTGGAATTCGCCAATCATTTATCAACAATGTAAAATCCTTCCGCTTTTTTGCTCAAAGAATTAATTGGCGAGTTTAACTCATGGCTTTCGATTTATTAGTGAAGTGTTCCCAAAAAAAAAAAAAAAAAAAGAAAAAAAAAAAAAAAAAAAAAAAGTCTACAGGGCTGTTTATTTGTGCAAAATTAATTTAAAGAAAAGCTTGTTAAGCCAGGTATAGAAATGAGGAATTGTTACTCAACGATAATCGTGATCAAGCGAAACTTTCCCAAACCAAAAATTAATTAAGTTACGCAAATAATTAAAATCAATTCTTAGATTATGGGATTCGGAAAAGGTTACAGGGATGGACTTTAAGTGCTTTAGCTTAAAGCAGCTGAACATTATGAGTAAAAAATTAAGAGCGTATCAAGCCGGAAAAAATTAAGTTATCGGATTCTTCCTCTCTCCTTAATCCCGGCTTGAGAGGAGGATTCTTCGGTTGAAAGGTCACATTCAATTTGCAGACTGTCCGAGAATTAAAACATCCTATTCTATTACCCTCAAAATGCACGTTACCGAGTTGATCATCAGGACTCCGCATGAAAGGGTATTCCAGCTGGAGTTAATCGACACTACTCGATCAGAGACAAAATTATTGAAATCATTAAGGGAGACAGCGTGTTAAGACTATCATCAGAAAAATGTGTGATATGCAAACGATATGTGCTCGTCCTGGGGTACAGGATATCGCTTCACTTCCTCCAGACAGAATCAGAGTCGCCTCCATTTGCTGCGACCGGGTTGGACTCGCCGGTCCATCCATTTTTCGAAAGACAGGGCAAGGTAAAGTACAGCTGTTGTTAACGTGTGCGGTCACTCGTGCGGGTTACATATAGAGATAGTAACTGATTCACGCACTGAAAGTTTTTTGCTAGCCTTCGGCGAGATTTTTAGCTCCCGAGGCTGTCCCACCGTACCACCGTGTACTCCGATAATGCCAAGACTTTTAAAGAGCTGATAAAGAACTAAAACATATTTTAAAAACTTTGAGTGATCTCGTGAAAGAATTATTTCTCTAGAGGATAAATTGGAATTTTACTGAGAGGGGTCCATGGTGGGGAGGGTTTTGGAGCGTTATGGTACGAACCATAAAAATCCAGCTTATGCAAAATTATTGGTCGAGCATCCTTATGTGAAAGAGCTTGAAATCCAGGCAATGATAATTGTAGACCCAATACCTACATGTTTACCGCCCAAATGACTTTCCACTAACGCCCTCAATTTCTGGTTGGTAGACGATTACTATCTTGGCCTGTGTAATCAAAGCACATCCCAGAAATCTCTGGACACTAGGGCAATTTTGGAATTAATGCCAGCAGAGAGATGGTAGTAAAAATCTCTTTTTCTAAAACACCTACTGGTAACCTAGGGCCCTAAATTGTTATATAATAGGCGGAACCTTAACTAATGTTTCTATTTTGTATTTTTAGGTTGATTCTCCTGACCTACTGATAGGTATCATTTAATGTTTTGTAAATTTATGTGCTTATAATTATGAGCATGTTGTTATATTTAACCATTCGCCAGGATTTATTGTCGAAATATTAATTGAATATTCTAGAATATATTATTGAAAGATGAACCTCTCCACCGAGTTTCAGGGGGGAGTGTTGTGTAATTTGAAGAAAAAGGCTAGAGGGCGCTTGTTGCTCGCTTAGTTGTAGAGAATAAAGTTGTTCATGTTGAAGGCGGTGGCCTAAGAATACGCTCTGTATTATAGTAATTAAAATATTGTTAAAAACGTAAAAGTGTTCAAATTAGTAAACCCACTGAACCACCATCATCTGTTTGGAGTGCACAATTATTAGCGCGAATTATAAGCGAGAACTGATTTAATCATACGAGATGAAATACTACACTCGTAAGAATTATAATCCAAATAAAATAAAAAAAACATCTGCCCTGAAGATAAGGATAGTGCTGACAGATCAACTTCCAATCTGCGGTGTGTATGATAAACAGATTTCGGATTTCAACATACCTTCGCTTTGTAGATACATGTATACCTATCGGAATTCTATTTGACATAATCTAAAGTTCAAGCTTCTTTATTTGCCTCTACATCCCGCAAAACAAAACATAAGACCATACCGGAAGATAAGGGAATGTAATTCCAGCTTACTTTTTTAGCTTAGCCCCAATTGACTACCGTTACATAACGTGCACACAACATGCGCCGTAACCTCCAAACATAACTCAACAAAACATACCACGCACACGCTTCTTACTTGCGGCGTTGTGCCCCCCTCCACCGGAAAGTCAGCTTTGGGTGGGCCGTGTAGATCTTTTGACATGGGTGTCCGAATTAACGCCATTTGACATGTAGAGGGAATGTAGACTAATCATGATTTCCCACTTTTAATCATGAATAATCCAATATCAGTCATAATGTGTCATTTACAGTGATGAGCAGCTGTGAACTAACACATGAGAATAGATCTGTATCTGTTTGGAACTGTGCTCAAAGTAAACATTTTTCTTATCTCATTTCATGATTTTGGCATATGTATCCATAAAATTTGCATGTGCACAAATATGTGAAAGGTGATTTCAATTACTTTTGCTTGCCAGTGTTCAAAGTTTACAATATACATTACTCTTTCAGTGAATATGCATTGCATTCGCATGCTTATCAACCCATGAAACAGTTCTTTTGTGAGTATTAATACATCTTAAGTGGAAAACAACTAAACTCATTTTGTGCATACTGTTATTGAAGCAAGGGAAATGGCTAAACTCATTTTATGCAAATTGTTATGAGGCCCAGAAGATGACTATTTATTCAGATTAAAGTGCAAAAGTTATTTTCGACGACTTATCAGTAAATTACAGATATAGTAGGTTTTTTGGGGGGGGGGGCTAACAAAATGTCTTTTTTTTTTTTTACACTGCATTCCTAAAAATGGATGACAATAGAATAGAATGTGGTGGCGAAAAATTGTGTACAGTTAGTTTGTTGAATTATTTTTCTTGTGAGAATAAACTTTTTGATGATGAGTCTAGTGACGAACAAATTATACAACATCGTAGGATTTTTTCCCAGCCACTAATTTCAGGCAGTTCTGATTCAAGCCTCTGCTTGGATGGTTCTGCTGAAGAAGAATGAAGTAGCCAATCCACCAGTCTTGGAAGATTTTTTTAAACTGCTCAGGAATAAATGCAGAAAACATTCCAGATAGTGTAGTGTATCTAGCATATACATTACACTAAAATACCAAATTTATCACCGAAAGCACCATGGGAAAATTGGGAGTTCCATTGTATTGTTAGCCGGTCTTTACCCCAATTGCAAGCACATGCAGGGGTGTGCAGTCATTGATCAGGATTCCAGTCCATAGCATGATACTGCATCTCATATATTAGTCCTTTTCCTGGATATTTTCTGAATGATGAGTAGTACCACTCTCATGTCAGATCGTTTGGCATTTACAAGCCGATGTCAGACTGAAGCTACTCTCATATGAGAATATTATGCAAGCCCAAGTTCAGTCCAGTTGCAATGCTCACGACGCTATTGCTGGTGTTGTCAGTATGATGTTGTCTGAACAACGAGGTACACACAACAGATCTACAAGCATATAGCCGTCTTCCTTTCAAATGTGCCGCTACAGTTTTTTGAGAGATCCATTGTTCTGTATCAGTAAGAAACTCTTGCCACCAGCTTAGCTTAATATGCCAGGTTTTTTTTTTTTTTTTTTTTTTTTTTTTTTGTCAATAGGGCAGTGTGCCTGTCTCTGTCAGGTGTTCATCAGCATCTGGCATTAGAAGAAAAGCAACAAAGTACGATTCTCCAGGTAGACTTTTACTATATGTGTAGAAACATACATTAGAATGCTTTGTGGGAATTAGAAAAAGGAAAAGTACTTTGCTACAATGTCATGTATGCTGTGTCAAGAAAATATGCAGTTTTTGTGTAAATTTTGCAATGTACCCTAACTCAAAGGAATGTGTTTTAAAAGATATCATGCTTTAAAACATTGTTAAATTTTTTATTTTTGAAAAAGTGTTTTTATCTTTTTAATACTTTTTGCTGCATGCTAATTACAAAAAATTGCCTGCTATAGGATGAAAGATTAAGCTATGTGTAAAATGTCTGTGTAAGATATATTAACAATTACTTTTCCATGCTAAGTAACTAGATTTGTGTTTTATTTCCATGTACCAACTGTAAGAAGTCTAAAATTGTTATTATCTTTATTCTTAAAAAGATAAATTGGTAATAAAACCCATTCTAAGTCTTTATTTATTATACGTAATTTGTTATATACCAAATTAACACTCAAAATGCTTTTGTGGGTTCATGCCAAGTTTATGACTTGACATAAGTGAAATGAAATGTTAGTATCCACATGATATCATTTATCCTTAATCACAATTTTGAAATGCACTACTTTATTGCATTAAAAGTTAATAGCTCCCCTCCCCTTCCCCAAAAAACATAATTAGATGTAAAATTTACTGCCTGAATATTTGATGTTGTATATATATATTTTGATAATTTAAATAAAAGTGTATGCCAAAAATTATTTTAGTCTTATTTTAAGTTTATTATCTGTTAAAAGTATTTTAAAAAACTTTTTTAGGGTTCACCAGATCCTATAAATTCAGCCTTCCATTTGACTTATAATATGGTATTGAATTTGCTTCGAGTAGATGAAATAAATCCTGAGTATATGCTTGAACGTTCTTTCTTCCAATTCCAGAATTACTCAGTTATACCACAACTGTATGACAGTAAGTAGCATCATTACATGATAAGTAGAAAAATTTAACATGTAATAATTCTGTGGTGGCATGTAGTAATTATTATTATTTTGTTTCAATTTTACTATATTTGCAGAAATTAAAAAGCTCCGAGAAGAGCATGATGCTATAGAAATAGAACGAGAAGATGAAGTCGATGCATATTATAAAATAAAAAAACAATTAGCTACTTTGTCTGAAGAGTATCATTCATATATTACACAGCCAGAATACTGTGTTCCCTTCTTCCAGCCAGGACGTTTAGTGAAGGTGTTTATTCCATTTTTTTCTTCTATTATTATTATCTAGTATAATAGCACTCTGTAACTATCATTAGAAAATTTCTTGTCCTATATTCTTATTATAGTATATTAAAAATTAACAGCTTGTCATTCACATTGTTGCCAAAATTTCCTGTCAGTGTGTAATCAAATTTTTTACAAATGTACATGCCATTTTGTTCATTAGTAATTAATAAGAAAAATGTGATGAATCAGAATCTAATACATTTTCCAATTTCTTTAGAATGTTAATATCTAATACATTTTCTTTCATAGTTTGCTCTGCATGTCCGTGTGCTTTTTTATTGATATACAGGCAATATTTTCATATGTTACTACTTAATTATATTATGCATATTTATGAACGTTAATTGCTTTACTTTAGTCTGAATACTAGTTTTTTTATATATATTCTGTAATGATTGAAAAGAATTTTCTATTTTAGTAATTTTGTAATGTTTATAATCTTCATAATGAAGTTAAGCAAGAAGCTATGCATATTATGTCAGTTATCCAGGTGTGCAGAATAATTCAAAATATTTTATCTGATTAATAACAATTTTTGAAGTTTGTAAATTAGGGCTTAATCCTTTTGTGACAGTTGACATATATCTATGTTAGGTATGAAATTAATTATTAATTTAAGGGTCAGTAATTACAAAGTTTTAATAATATTTCAAACAGGAGAATTGTCTATATTTTACCTCTTGTCATGTCATGTATGTGCTACACATAAGTTACTGAGTTCCAATTGCATAAACAGTATGGGAAATCATATTTGAATTCAATGCATACTCATTATGATTCTTTCTTTTGTTCCCCGGCCATAATAATCAGTGACTGGGGGGCTTCTTCAGAGTTTGAGCTTAGCATTAAGTTGTGTATATGCTACTATTGCCTAGAATTATCTGGTTTTGATAATAAGATGCTTCTTTGATGCATATAATATCAAAATACTCAAAAGTTTGACTTGTAGAGTTGTATTCTTAGATGATAAAGTCTGTAATTACTAATGCAATGTATAAAAATGGTTTACTTGGAAGGAAGATTTTCGTATTCATAAAACATTACCCTATATTTTCCAGTAGCTAAAGCTATTTATATAAATCATTATTTCGACAAGGAATCAATAGAGTCTGTAATGAAATATCAAGAACCAGAAGTTTCACCATTTCTATTCTTATAACCTAAGTATGGATCATTTTAAAAGTTATTTTTCAGAAAAAATTACAGGTGTACTTAAAAGTGGGTGGACACCAGAATTTCACCATAGGTGCCATGAGTCACCTCACTAACTGTGTAGCTCCATTTCAATTTTGAGGGAGAAAACCCTGGGGGGCATTCCAAGGGTCTCCCACATCAACCACTCGAGAGGACTTTCAGCTCTCTGAGTGTTTTAAATGCCCCCTTGCAGCACAGACATGCTTACAAACATGCATGCCTTCTTTGGAATTCAAACCCAGGCCTGTTGGTACAGTAGTCAACTTTAGTAACTACTATACCATCTGAATAGCAGAAAAAATTACAGAAACACAAAAGAAAAAAATATATATTCAAAAGTATCCATTATTAAAGTTAATTATAAATAATAAGAAATAATATTTATAAACTGAGACAAAACTTATGAGACAGTATAATCTTGGATGTCTAAGAAAAACTTTATTTTCCATAATTTATTATTTATTTGCAGGTGCAAAATGGAGATGATGATTTTGGTTGGGGTATTGTAATAAATTACCAAAAGAAGTATCTAACAGCTGTGAGTATAGCTTGAATCAAGTTTATAATATTCAATTGCACTTACCTGTGTGATCAGTAAATTAAGTTAGTAATTCTAATTAAGTTAGTAATTAGTAACTGTTAATGAGGAACTAGAAAATATATAATACATTAAAAAAATCTGATAATTTATTTTATTATATTAAGGAAAACAAAGAGGAGTCACCTGTCTTTTATGTAGTTGATGTTTTGCTGCATGTTTCCAAAGAAAGTTCTGAAACAAAAGTAACTTCTAATTTGAAGCCACCACCTTCAGGAGAAAAAGGCATTATGCAGGTAATATAATAGTAAAAATTTTGGGGTGAATTTTATGAGCAGTACATTTATGTTATCCCTAGAATAGCTATAGCATCACAAAATAGTTTCTTTTTATACAGTATTTTCTGTATATTATACATATTTTATTGAATTTTGCAAATAATGTTTTTCTACCAAATGATAGTTATTCTTTAATATTTATTATTATAAAATGAAGATTCTGTGATGAGTGTGCAATATCTTCAAACAGCTTAGAGTCTAATAGGCTCAGAGCTACAAAATGTTGGGGCACACACTTTGTGAAAGGTGATAAAGGCAAATTTTATTTTTTTTTTAAAATTTTATTTATATATATATATTTATAACATTTATGATTTATATATATATTTACTTATACATTAATAAACTGTTATTCTGCTTATTTGAGAAGGAAACAGATATATATTCTATTTAATATCATAAATAATTTAGTATACAGTTTTCAGTTATTAAAAATGAATTTAACTTGAACCAATCCATACAAATTCAAACTTACTAATCATTTCACCCATAAGTACAAGGGGTGATCAAATGAAAAGGTACGAAACGACACGGTGGGTACAAATGTAGACTTTATTCAAAATATACATCATAGGCCTGAGCACAACGATCCCACTGGTGAACAAGCCGCAGCATTCCTTGTTCCCAGAATTCCTGTGGCCGTGACAAGACCCAGTCCTTCACAGCGTCCTTGAGTACGCCATCCGAGTTGAAGTGCTTCCCTTTCAGGTGTTTCTTCAGTGGACCAAACACATGGAAATTGCAGAGGGACATGTCCGGAGTGTAGGGCGGATGGTCCAACGTCTCCCACTTGAACTTGGCCAGTTCCATGTGTGTGACTCTGGAGACGTGTGGATGTGCATTATCATGGAACAGAACCACACCCTTCATGAGCAGCCTCGGTCTTTTCTTCTTGATGGACCTTGATAGGCGTCGGAGTGTCTCACAGTACACATCAGAGTTAATGGTTTTTCTGCAGTCGAGGAATTCCACATGTATCGGACCTTGAACGTCGAAAAAGACGGTGAGCAACACCTTGCCTGCTGACGACATGGCTTTGAACTTTTTAGGGGGAGGTGACGACGCATGCTTCCACTGCATGCTGTCCCGCTTTGTCTCTGGCTCGTAGCGATGGCACCAGGTCTCATCACCTGTGACGATCCGCTCTATGAAAGCGGGGTCTTCCTGATACCGAAACAGATGTTGCAGTGCTAGCCCCAAACACAGTTCTGCTGGTCGGTAGCTGCTTCGGAACCCAAGCAGCACACACCTTCCGATATCGCAACCTTCTTGAACAATTGTCCACGCGGTTCCATAGCTGACATCCACCTTCACTGCCAACATTTGCAATGTGACACGCCGATCACTTCTCGCTAGGTTGTCCACCTTGTCGATGAGATTGCTCATGATGACAGTGTTTGCCTGGCCTGGTCTCGAGTCATCACCCACACTTTGACGGCTTGCACAAAAACGGGCACTCCATTTCCTGACAAACTTGTCAGAGACACATTTCTCCCCGTAAACTGTCACCATCCAGCGATGAATAGATGCCGGTTTCTCATCTTCCGCTGTCAGAAATCGGATAACACCTCGCTGCTCCTCTGTCATCGAATTTTGCAATGCAAATGCCATCCTGTCCTCATACGGACTGCCGCATCATTTGCAAATATTTAACTGTTACATTTTTACGCTGTTTCGTACCTTTTCATTTGATCACCCCTTGTAGAAATGCTATAAAATAGTGCAGTTCGTGTTCCATTCCCAGTAACTGAATGGCAGGCTACAGTGCTTTTTAATGCCTCCCCTCCTTGTGCTTGACATATTCATACGTGCTCAAATGCATCCATGGATTTAATTTAACACTTTTTTTTTAATTGGTATTATGAAACACATTAATATTCAAAGTATAGGCATGATGATTCAAATGACAAATTTAATTGGTACTGAATTCACATTTTCCAAGTTATATACCATATTTTATCTCAACTTATCGTAACATATTATATTAGGATAACAAAGATACATTTCAACATTCTGTGTTTATATTTTTGATGTCATTTGCTTTAACTTTTTTTTTTAGTCATCTCTGTTCAAGGCATATACACCCGTGATTATTCTTAAGATTCTCAATGTGATCTAATACTAGGGTGTCGGAGATAGGTAACAACAATAAAATGTATCAGTTTTCCTCTCGAGAAGCTAATTTAAAGTACAAATTTTATTTTTCAAAAATTTGATTTATATTTATATTTTATATCAAGTTGATGTTATTAATTTCTTTTCATTATTAATAAAAAAACAATCTGAGCTTTTATTGTTTGCACTATTGGAGAGAGTGGAAAAGAAATCTTTTAACCCTTTGTTGCATACGAATAATTTAGAGAAGTTAAACGAAAATGTTTGTATTTTTTCTACCAATAACCTTATAATTATTAAAAAAAAAAAAACAAAAAAAAAAAAAAAAAAAAAAGAAAATTTCAAATTTCATTTAAATAATTGCTTCGTTTGTTCCATACAGTGGATAGCATGCATATACGTACAGCTACAAATCTCTTCCCAACGATTTCGGCATTGCATTCAATCATTTCCTGTCTTGTTGCAGTGATCATTACCATCTTCTAATGGTACATTTACAACTGACATGTACATACAGATCCCCAATACGTCATTTCATCGATTGTGATTGAATTCATTTTCCTATGATTTTGTAACCTGTACCCTATTGGATTCAATGTCAATGTTCTAGAAATTCCTTGCTGAACATAACAGTTCCATGGTGGTTTTTGGCTTGATAAGCAGTACATTTGGGTCAATTCACTCTTTCGGTAGATCTTTATCTACCCACTCCACAATTCTCAAACTGACATTTAAATAAAATGTGTAAATTACTAATACAAATAAAAAATGGCAGTAGAAGAAAATGTAAGCAATATTATATAATGTTTACTATGAGAAATTGTACTAACTTGGGAACAGAAGTAGCAGCCATTTTTCAAATAGCATTCATTGCTTTACTTAGTTATGCTATACAGCCATCTATGATCAACATTTGAAAGTTAATATATGCTGAAATAAACACAGTAATGGAATCTGTTAAGGCATTTACAGAAGAATAAACAAATTTAAACTTTTGTCTACTAGAGTGGACATGATGCAACAAAGGGTTAAATAAAGTTTGTTCTGAATCTCTAACTTGATCTGCCAATTTTTCTCAATAATTATACTTTTTTTAGATTTAAACTCTGACATCATAAAATGCAGGTTTCTTACTGTCTTGAAATTTTCACAGATTATAACAACAGTCTTCTGTTCCCTTGTCAAATAAGCAAAATAACAGTATATTAATTAGGTCATTTTTCAGATTTTGAATAATATGTTGGACTGTGACTTCAAGCAGAGATAGTAGTTCCCATTCCTCACAGTCTTGGTTGCTTATCATGTGATCATTGAAATGCAGTTTCAACCAAGGTGCATTTCAACAATATGATGTCACATCATGCTATTCCCCCATTTAATAATGATTTAATTAATTAATTAATTAATTAATTTAATTTTTTTCTCTTGGTTAAGATATATTTGCAAATAAATTATGCTTACTATAGAAGGTCTTGTATTATTTTATAGTTATTGTTCCTCCCCAGAAGGCTAATCTTTGGATTTAGTATTTATTTTAGTAAATTTAGGCTCATATGATTTTATAATTACTGTTTCCTTACCTACCCCCCTCCAAGCTAATCTTTGGATTTAGAGTTTATTTTTGTAAATTTATCTTTTTATTGCCATATATTTTACAAATTATATTTGCCCAAACACAACCTGGCCAGATAAGCAGCCAAGAATCCTATACATTTAAGCATCAATACCAAAATCCTGCAACTGGCAGATATATTCTGTTTAATATCGTAAATAATTTAGTATATAGTTTTCAGTTATTAAAAATGAATAACTTGAAACTATCCAATCCATACAAATTAAAGCTTACTAATCATTTCATCCCTAAGTGGTAATGCTACAAAATAGTGGTAGTTCGCGTTCCATTTCCAGTAACTGAATGGCAGGCTACAGTGCTTTTTAATGTTTTTTTTTTTTTTTTTTTTTTTTTTTCTTTTCCCCCCATGTACACAAATACAGACCAGTTGGCTGTAGAAAGCCCTCTATAAACACATCTTTCCCATAGGCAATCACAATGTGCTTATCAGCCATTCCTCATTAAATTTGTGCTTGACATATTCATACATGCTCAAATACATGCATAAATTTAATTTAGCACACTTTTTATTGAATCGGTATTATAAAACGCATTAATATTCAAAGTATAGGCATGATGATTCAAATGACAAATTTATTTGGTACTGAATTCATATTTTCCAAGTTATATACCATATTTTATCTCAATTTATCGTAACATATTGTATTAGGATAACATAGATTCATTTTCAACATTCTGTGTTTATATTTTTGATGTCATTTGCTGGAACTTTTTTTTAGTCATCTCTATTCAAGGCATACACCCGTGATTATTCTTAAGATTCTCAATGTAATTTTATACTAGGGTGTTAGAGATAAGTAACAACAATAAAATATATCGGTATTCCTCTTGGAAAAGTTAATTTATAATTAAAGTACTATACACAAAAAAGTACTTTTTATTTAATGTTTCCTGTTATAACATGATTTTATGTGCTACGACCTGATAGCTAAATCTTTGAAAAATACTATCGGGAATAATGCACTAGATTAATTTTTTTTATTTTATTTCTAGGTTGTGCCTATTAAATTAAACCTTATTCAACAGTTAAGTTCAGTACGTGCCTATTATCCAGACGACCTCAGGCCCGTGGATAATCGGATGAAAGTTCTTAAAACAATTCAGGTAAGGCAATGTATATGTATGCATAAAAGTTTTATTCACTAAAAAAAGTTGCATTTATTTTTTCATCTTTAATTTTAAAATTTAGTTGCTTTCCTGTTTAACATATTGATAAAGTCTATAAAATACCCTTTTCATTACAAGTTAATTTATTTATAATGTTGTTTCATGGCACTTTTTTTCATTTTTACTGGTCTGACCATCATTACAATGTTATTAGACCTAGGATGAGAACTATAATATCAGTATGAATGAATTTTTATTAGATGTCTTAAAGACAGGAGAAAATAAGCAACATTTTGAACATATTTATACTTTATTATATGAAGAGAGGTAAAAATGCAATTGAAATGTAAGCGAAATTTGTGCAGCACATGGAGAGGGTGTTGTGACTTACTGAATATGCCAGAAGTAGTTTATAAAGTTCAGG